ACCAAGTGACATACCAAGGCTGGACCCAGAGAGGCCCTGAGATTAGGACCACAGTAACCAAGGGACCAGCCAGGCAGTGGCTCACTCACTAGGGAGACCCAAGAGGATTGCTGGTGTCTTTAGACCTCACATTGGTATGACATTCATGACTTCTGAGTCAAGTGACCAAAATATCTAACAACGACAACTTACTGAAGGAGACTTACTTTGTCCGTCACAGCGGGGAAGGCACAATAGAGTTCATGGCCTGGTAAGCTTGTGGTAGATGCATCTGACATGGAGGACACAGGGCCTGGGCTGTGCTTCCAAAAACCCACCCTAATAACCCATTTCTGCCAGCTAGGTTCCGGTCTCTTAAAGGTCACAGCTGGGGAAACAGTGTTGACAACACGAGCTCATGGGAGACACTTTCAATCAAACTTTGGCATGGACGCTGATGGATTTTGGAGGTGGGGTTATTGGGAGGCAATCAGGATTAGACGATAGCATTGGAGTAGGACTGGTGACATGGCTGGTGGGGCTTTGTAAAGTGGAAGGAGACCTGCACTGACATACCCTTGCTTGCCTTGTGGGACCACGGTACGATGCAGCCCTTTCACTACGTGAGGTGCCGTGCGCTTGGACTCTGCAGCCTCCAGCACTCTGAGTCAAATAAACTTTCACTATTGCTACTTTTTTTTTTTAATTTCTTTTCAAAGACAGAACGAGGATAATTTTATTGGGATTTGAAAGACAAAACCACAAGGGAAGTGAACTGGAGAGCTCAGCAGGAGAGAGATGGAGAAAGGGAGAAAAGATGTCTTCTCTGAGGTAGGGGTGCAGCAAGCAGGTGTGTGGACGAGGGGGGAGAAGGGGAGAGAGAGGGAGAAAGGAAGACTATGTCCCCTTGTCAGGGCAAATGGGCTCAGAGTGTCAGCCAATGTTTGGAGAGAGGAGACAGAAGGAGAGAGAAATAATTAAAATTTTGGGAGTTAGAATTCAGAAAGTGGGTATGTTTGTGAGTGAATTGTCAGAAGACTGCCAACTCTGTTCTTTGTAAATTACCTAGTTCCAGGTATCCTGTTATTAGCAACTGAAAACAGACCAAGATCTGTGGCCTTCATCAGTGTGTTGGGTGACGGATCAGAACTGCTCAGCGAGACCACAGTGAAGAAAACCATCCTAGCCATGGCTGGACTGCAGGTGAGAAGTAAGGGGTGATCTCCACCCTTTCTTCATGTTCTCCCTTTTCCTAATCCTACGGGGCTGAACCTAGCCAACTTGCAGGTTCCTGCATGCTGGAAAGAGAGGAGGCTGGCTGCGGATATGGCGGGAGTTCAAGAGAGGCATGCTATCAAACTGGATAAGACAGTCACAAACCCACGGAGCTACCTACCCATGTCTCTGGGAGCTAAACACACACCATTTGGCAGAGCAGGGGGAGGTCTGCTAAGACCCCATCCAGCAAGGGATGTCTTGGTGCAGGACACACTCAGGGTGGCCAGCATACTCTGAGCATGGGCCCCTGAGCTCACCAGCTTGTGGTGGAGGATGCAGAGGCCTGGAAGCTGCTCAGAGCAGAGCTCAGGCCGAAGGGAAAACCGTGAGCCAACTCATAGAGAACAGATGGAGACCAGGAGAGTTCCCACCTGATTCAGGCATGCGTTCTCCCTTGCTTGTTTTGCACCCTTGGCACCGGATGAGCCAGAAGAGCTCACCCCAGTGACACTTAGGACCTGACTCTAGACAGATCCACTCTAAAGACAAGCCACGCCCAGTACCGTATCTCTTGGGACCTTGGACCTCCTCCTGGACACCTGGTGAGACTCATAACCGCAGAAGTGAGGGTTTCTGGCACTGGCTGGAGCCTGGCAGGATCACATAGGGGGTGTTTGCTACCCAGTCCTGGCAGAACAAGATTCTTCACTAGCTGGGAGGCCAGGGTGTGTCTCCTTGCCACTCTATGCCTCAGTTTCCCCTGTAGGTCAATAAGCCTATCCCAAAGAGTTATTGCTAGGGCTGGGATGTGAGGTCAGGCCGACAGTACAGTTCCAGTGAGGACTCTTCCCCTCATCACACCCAGAGCCCCGGCCGGCTTCCCACCTCCCCCTGTAAACACAGGGTATGAACAGCAGTGTTTCTGTCTGGGACTTTCCCAGGTCAGGCCGACTGGAGTCCTGAGAATTTATTGTAGACAGTGATACTCCTCCCTCACCCGTTCCTGAGAGATGACAGCAGTCCTGTGACTTTGACATACCACAAGAGTATCTAGAAATGTCAGTGATGCCTCACCAGTGGCCTTCCCAAAGGGCAGTCATTGTGCCCTTGGGGTACTGGTTTCCTCCAGCTTGGACAGCCACAGTGTGAACCGGGCTCAAGTAAGTGCCAAGCATGTGGTCTACCCCACTCCAAGGCTGCCCTGGTTGGCCTTGGAAAAAAAAAGTAAATCTCTGTCCTCTGGGGCAGTAGATGGCTGGCTATTGGGTGGTCAAGACTCTTGTAAGTTTAGAGTGTTCATTCTTACAAGGTGAGACTAGGTGCACTGTAAGACTAGTAGAGGCTTTTCCTTCCCATTTGCCAGTTGCCATGAGTATCCACAAACACAAGGCAAGGACGCCTCCCTCCGGGCCCTTCCCGGAAACTGCCACATCAACATAGCACCTGCCATTTCCTCCTAATCATTTGAGGTGAATGAAAAAATGAAAAGGCAAAGAATCCAGCCCAAGAGTAGGGCATTGGCCAGCCGCAGGACTCTCGGCTCTCTGGTTCCACAGCACACATGGCCTGAGTGTCACGACTCCCTGTATCCTGTGGGTCACTCACTGCCTTTATATGCCCGTCCCTCCTCCAGGCTCCATATCCACCTTCCTAAGATTTCGGACTCTAGAAACGTATGAAGAGGGCTTCAAGTTTTTCCACAATACCCCTCTCTCGGCCCATTGCCTGGCTCAGCACCTTGATCCTGACTGACACCCACAAGACATTTGTTGAATGATGTAGCAAAGAGGCAAAAACGGTGAATCCATTTCAGAAGGGAATCTCTGCCAGGCTACTTTCTAGACAGGGTCCTGCTACAGCCCAGCGCTTTAAGTACCACCAAGGCTGGTGTAGACATGGACAGCTTCCCATGGGGAGGCCGCAGGCTGGACCTGACCAATGGGACCTCCAGAGTCAAGTATACTTGGAGGACTCCACACTGGAAAAGCCCAACGCCAGGGCCCCCGGGGGTTGCACGCCGACACAGAAGTATGAAGCAGTTGGGTGGATGGGACCTTTCACACACACAGGTCCCCAAACCCTGCAATCCTGGGCCGGGGTGTCGCTTCAAGCGCAGAGTAGAAGCTTATTCTTGGCACTGAAGAGAGTTGGGGGTTGGAGTTTTTGAGGGGGAGGAGAAATTGCAAAGAAAGAAGAAACCCAGAAGCGACAGATAGTGGGACAGCTGTGGACTGAACTTGGTGTTCCTGCTCATGTGGATGTATTAATTTCCATAAATGCTAATGGCCCATCTCTCCAACAGCTATTACTTATGTCATCTCCCCTTGGATGTGGTTCAACACAGGGCGGACGAATGGAATGGAGCAAGAGGCAACCCCCACTGGTGGGGCCCTCTTCCAAACGGGCAGCTCAAGTCTGGTGTCTGATGTGGCGGCCCTCATACCTTCCGAGTCCAGACCACCTGCATTTAAGACCGGTCCCTTTCATACCAGTAAGCCAAGAAAGTTACCAACCCCAAAAAACGCTGACTCACAAAGTGTGACTGAACAGTAAGCGAGGGTGGGTCAGAGGGGGATGGCAGCCCGTGGGCAGGCAGCAAAGGGTGCCAGAAGGCATCCTGAAGGAGACCCCAGGACGAGTGCCAGGAGAAGCAAGCAGGGTGTGCCAGACGGGAGGGAGGGAGGGCAGGTGGGCAGGTACACCTTGCTGCAGATACTGCAGCAGGCAAGCAGTGCAGCATTTGGGCTCCGCATCCTGCAGCAGCAGCAGAAGCAGCAGCAATAGCAGCAGGTAGGGAGGTGGGGATGCGCAAGTGCCAGGGCCCGGGCATGCGGGAGAAACTGAGGGTAGGGGTAGAAGTCTAGAAACAGAGGGGACGAGGTGCAACGCAAAATAGAGAGAGCACTGCGGTGGCACAGTAGCGGTCGTGGTGGTGGCGGTGGTGGCGGCGGCGCCGGCGGGGATCGAAGGGGCTGGGAGCAGAATGGGTGGGAAGTTGGGGTCACGACGAAAGGGACACCCGGCAGGCTGCAAGGACGAAGAATGAGTCCAGAGGAGCAACAAGGAGAGGGATGGAGAAGGCAGCTACTAGGAGTGCGCAGAGGCCGGGAGGGAGAGGAGGAGAAGCAGGGAGGCAAGGGCGAGGTGTGGGGATGCGGGGCGGGAGGGGGCAGAGCCGGGGGTGAAGTTTGTGGTTGGGGTCCGGGATGTCGGCTGAAAGGTGGGGCAGGATGACAGGGAAGCAGAGAGGGTGGGGTGGGGGCAGGGAGACTGTGGAGAAGGAGATGGGGAGGCTGGAGAGGAGGTGAGAACCGCGGCGGGGGCAGGGATGCAGGGCTGGGGAAGAGGAGATGGAGAGGGACCGCGGTACCCGCGACAGCGCGGCCTCGCAGGTGCCCGCCGGGGTCTCCCGGCTGCACTCACCTGGGGGCCTCCAGCTCCGGATCCCGCGCCCCGCTCCGGATCTTCCTTCCCGCCCTGCCCTTGCGACTTCAGCGGCCCCGAATCCCGCTCGCTCCCGCAGGTTCCGCCCGCAGCATCTTTACCTCGTGGGACGCCCGCGGCCACGCCCCTAGCAGCCAATCATTGGCTGTGACCCACGCCAGTCACCGTCTCATTGGCGGAGGCCCTCGAAGCCCATGCAAATCATGCCGCTCCCGCCGACGCGCCGATTGGCTGGCGCGTGCGGAGTCCGGGTCCTCGGACTCGGGTTCTCATTGGCCCGCGCGGCCTTGACGGAGAGAGTGACCCGAGGCGGGGCCGGTGCCGAGTGCGCGGAGTCCCGCGGGTCAGGCTCCTCGCGTGGGTGGCTGCGGACAGGGCGACCCCCTTGGCCGGCGCCGAACCCACCAGACCTCGGGTTCCGCTGCGCACCGGCCGCCGGATCGCGGGATCCGCGGTGCGGGACGTCTTGGGCGCGTGGATCCGGTGCCCGTCTCCTAGGTAACACGCCAGCGGTGGACCGCACCAAGTGCGGGGGAGGTGTGCGTGTTTTGGAAGCGCGGGTGGCAGCAGAGCCTGGAGAGACCTCAGGGTCCCGGGTGGGAATGTGCATATTGCGTCTCGCTGACGACCCGGTGTTTGCAAGGCACGGCACGGAGCACGGGGCCGGGCCCAGGTCGCGCGGTGTCACCCTCCCCCCCTGCGTCGCCATTGGTGCATCCCGGTTGCCTTCCGAAGTTGGGCGTCGGGGGTCTCCTTCGGTTTGTCCTCCGCTTTCTGACCGGGTTCCCGCCGCAGTCTCGGTGCCGAAACGGATGCGGCGTGCTCGCCAGAGCCTCGAAGATGCCCACGGGCTGGTGTGCGCGCTTCTTTCCCAGCCCTAATACGGGTAGCTCGGCCAGGTTCATGCGGCCCTCTATGCACTGGGAGGCCCCTGGGGCGCAGGGTCTTCTCCCTTTCTTCATTGCTTGGAATTGCAACCTACACTGATGTCCTAGTTCCTGGTGTGCCCAGACTTGCCTTGGTGCGGGGAGACGTACTAGCGATTGGAAATTTGCACTGAAGCCAGCTTTGCGGGTTTACGGAATGGGCAAACTCTCCCTGTCCCAACCCTGGTTTCCTTTTTGTGGCTCAGCCATGCAGCTTCCACGGGCCATAATTCTGCCTTGTGTCCCCCGCTCCCCGCCCCACAACTGCCCTAGCGCTGTCTGGTTCTTGAGTTTGTACTCAGGGATCTTCGAGACTGTTTACTTTAGTCCCGTAGCAGAGGGTGAATGAGGGCATGCATGCCTTAATCAAACTTACAGGTAACCCCCCGCCCCCATGGGGGTAACTCTCAGGTCTTCATTTCTGAGGAGCAGACTTCCCCCAGTCTGGCACCACTATTTGTGGAATTTCAGAATTTCAGCCTCTGGTTTCCTCCCTTGTCACCACCTATATATGAGTCTTGGTCGTGATCTATGCTGTGGGGTGCACCCACTTGTCCCGTGTTTCTCCCTCACTACAGTTAAATATTGTTGGAGACGATTTGTCTCTTTGCCTCTGGAATACACCAGGTGTCTGTCAAACATTTATTGACTGGAAGACCCTAAGACCCCCCCCCCCAAGCTGTCATCTTGTAGATTGGAAGCAGGAAGGGAGGGTGAAGACCTTGGCTGAAGTTAAGGAGAAAAAAACTGGCCCTCATCTTTGGACATCTCTGCCAGGAGGGCTCTCAACTACCACCTTCTGGACATCTTGTCCCCCTTGGCTTCCTGAGCGGGAGGAGGAGAGTGGTATGGGTGTGAGTTAGTCCCTATTAGCTGTGAACTCAGCTGTCTGAGCCCGTCTCCTCCTGTATAGGGTGGGCTGTGATGACACTGCCTTCCAGTTGTTGGAGCAGTACATCGGGAGTGTTGTGCCTGACTGAGCTCGGGCTTCAGTAGGAGCTGTCCTGTCTTCTCCTTCATGTCCTCCGTAGAGAGCCCAGGGTCCCTTTCCTTGGGTTGAAAGCATGGAGCGGCCCAGTTTTCTTTCTAATGTTTATTCTTCTTGGTGGCCCTTGTGATCCTTCCTCCAAACCTTTCTGTTACTGGAGTTTGTAGGGTATGAGCCTGGCTCTGGCAACCCCAGGGTGTGATCTTTGCCACCTGTCCCCAGTACACTGGTTAAAGAGACAAATAACCGTGAAAAGAGGAGAAAGGAGATTTATTCAGTTTGGCCACATTGGGAGGAGGAACACATAAATGGTTCTGAACCAGGATTTTTTTTTTTTTTAATTTTGACCCACCAACCAGCTCCCAAATTATGACATGGAGACTTCTTATTAAGTATGAATGCTTGGCCTAGCTTAGACTCGTTTCTGGCTACCTCTTTTTTAACTTGAATTACCCTGTTTCTTTTCATCTACATTTTGCCTCAGGGTTTTTTACCTTTCTTTCTGTATGCTCTGTTCTGTGTCTGTCTGGTGGCTGGCTGGCTTCTGGCCCCAGGCCTGTCCCTCTTGCCCTTATTTCTCTTCTTTTGAGTGTAGATTTCTCCTTTTACTTAATTCTCTCTGCCTTTCAGCCCCACCTATCCCTCTCCTGCCTAGCTATTGGCCGTTAAGCTTTTTTCTTTTCTCTTTTAGACCAATCAGGTCTAATAAATAGGCAGGGGACCTGTAACAAATGCAACACATTTTACATAATTAAACAAATGCAGCACCAACAAATATGACTCATCTTTCCATCATTAACAAAGGCAGCAGGAACAAACGTAACACATCTCCATAAAGTAATAGCATAAAATAATAGTCCCTCAGGGTGTAAACAAATGTAACACTTTTTTGCCTAGTTAATATTCCACAACAGGGGCTGGCCAGTACCCCCAAGTCCATCTTAGGAATACTAGCATGAAGTTTAGGCACAAACAAGGCGGGAGGTATGCATAACTAAGTAGTCCTGGTCAGGGCGTGGTCACTGACCCATTCCTGTGTCTGCTCCAGTGTCTCCTGCTGGGTGGTCTGACCGGTCGGAACTGAGTGAAGCCTTCCCAAGTTCCTCCTTTCTCTGGCACAAGGCTTTGACCTTCCTTCCTCCCAGCATGGGGATTCCCGGGGAGATTTTACTTCTTTGGGGTTATAAAGTGTCTCTTTAGAACACTTTCTCTGCCATAGAGGTTATATTTCTTTCAGTACTGACAGAGTCTTTCCAAGGACTGGTGCTGACTCAGGGAGCTCACAGTCTCCCAGGACTGCACTGACCACACAGCCCTGGATAATGTTTCTAGAGAGGGCTGCAGGGAGGCGGGCCTTCAGATCTCCAGTGCCAACCTGACAGGCAGTTGGGAGAGCGAGGGGCAGGCAGACCCTGGAAGGTTAGGCTGGTGCTCGAGTGCTTTTCAAGGCTGGGAGCGGTGAGGACACTGGCCCCCCACACTGCCACAGGGGCAGGGGCAGTGTAGGGACTTGGGTCAGGAGGACCCTCCTCCCCACTAATGCTGTCAGATAAGGATTCTCAATGAGTCCACGCCCATTTGATCTGGAGAGCAGTGCACAGCAGCATCTCTCCAGGAAAAAGACCAGCCTGGCTTCCCTCCACTGCAGCATCACTCGGCTTTGTGACTTTTCTCCAGTTCTCCTGTGGAATGACTGCCAAGGCCATGGGAAGGGCCTTCTGCCAGGAGCTGCCCAGGGAACAGTCACCACAAGATAGGCCTCAAGGGCTGTGACCAGCAGAAACACAGGGACTGTGCAAGCCTGGGGCTGGACCCAGAGCCATCCAGGAGCCCTCACTTCCAGTAGGAGGTAGCATTGGAGCGAGTGTTGGCCATTCCTCTTTCACCAGTAGGCAACTCTAGGAGCTGCTGTCCCATGGCTGCTGTCATCGGATGCCACAGACTCAGTGTCTGGGACCAACACACACTGACTCTTTTCCAGTTTTGACCATCAGTCATGCAAGATCTGTCTCATTGAGCTGAGATCAGGGTGTGGGCAGGGCAGTTCCTCTGGGGGCCCCTGCTGAGAATGTCATTTTCAACTCCTGGAAGCACCTGCTTTTCTTTCCTCCAGAGACCTTGGCCTTGCTGCGGTCCCCTCTTCTTTCTAAGCCTTCCTAGCTGTCTCTCACAGGGACCCGTGTGTGCTCCAGGCTGTCCGGGTGTTCCAGCACAATCTCCTGTGCTAAATCCTGTTTGCCATGAAGAGTCACATGTTCCCAGGCTCCAGGATTAGGGGAAGAATGTTGGAGACCATTATTCAGCTTGCCAGGGAATCTGACTCAGGAAGGGGCAGGAGCTTCCAGGAGCCCGTGTTGGCCTGTGTCACTTACCCCAGTGGCCATGGGGGCACTGCTTCCTAGCTGCTGTCTTCAGCCACCCCCACCTTGGTTCTTTTAGTCTGCCTGCTTCTGCACCAGGATTTCCCTGTAGTATCTGTCTCCTGGGATTCTGGGCTGGGTAGTCTTGGGTGGCTTCAGGCTGTAAAGAAGTGCCAGTCCAGATGGAGTCTCCCAGGGGAAACTTTGCCTATGCCGCTGTGTGGGAATCTCTTGTTTCCCTTTGAACAACTACTACAGGCCTCTGGTTGAGTTGGAGGCAGCCCGTCTCATGCAGGGAATTGGGTCCCTTTTACAAAGAACAGGGAAGGCACGGCATCCTGGTAGCTTGCCACATCCTCATGGACACAGAGCCACATGGGTGTCTTTGGACCACCGAGGGGGTGCCTGGTTTGTAAGTGTGTTCCAGGGTGACTAGGGTGTAGCCAGGGACCCTGAGGTGTGTGTGTGTGTGGGGGGGGGCGTCCAGCTAACAGTCTTGCCCTTTGGTCTTCCTTCATTCACTCTGAGCTTAGAGGGGTGACCCCTTAGAATGGCTCTTCACTTTGGCCTTTAGAAGAAATTCCCAAGGACCCCGTCAGACTTTATCGGACACACGATTTCTGTCTGCCCATGTCCACCATATGAGAAGTCAGAACCCAGAAGCACCAAGAAACACTAGTTAATTTAAAAAATGGCAGCAGTAAACCCGATCACACAATAACACCCAGAAAAGCTTTGTCACTGATGAGCACGGTGACTTTGGGTTTGTGCCAGTGTTTTCATCGGCTCAGCAGGAGACCGTTTGCTCTGGGCTTTTGTGCCTCCCTCATCCTGCTGTCTTGGTTGAAGCCTTCCTAGGAAATCGAACCCCACTGGGTTCGAGGAGGGTCCTGTGATGGGTGTGGTTTTTGCATGCCCTCCCCTCCCCTCCCCTCCCTGGCAGGAGTTGTTTTTGTTTTGAGACAGGTTCTCTTTGTACAGCTCTGGCTAGCCTGGACGAGCTGTGTAGACCAGGCAGGCCTAGAACTTGCGCTGATTCTCCTGCCGTCTCTCAGTTGCTGGTATTACAGGTGTGTCACCAAGCCTGGCTGACATGATGCTGGAGAACGGAACACAGGGCGTTGTGCCCAGTAGGCAAGGACTGTATGGACGGTTTCTCACAGATTGTTTTATAGTGGGGTCCCTGTCCACCAACCGACTTCTTACCCACGAGCTTTTGCCTCTGGATCTTTCATTCTCACGGGATTTTGAACTGTTATGGTCACTGGTTACTGATCTCTTGGAATGAGCTGGCACTCTGAGTTTCATAGCTCTTCCACATATCTACACATGTAAACACATACTCCCTGAGGATGGCACCCGTCTTGTCCCTGTCGTGCTCACAGGGGTAGTCTGGAAGTATGATGCAGTCAGGTTGGCAGTGGAGGACACAGATGTAAGTCTTTTTTTTTGTTGTTTGTTTGAAAACTGAGTTTTGCTTATCTTCCTCAAAGCGACAGGTTCACTTTGTTCCTTTGAGAAAGTGTCAGCCGAAGCTGAGGCCACCTAGCAGTCAACTCTTCATTGAAGTGGTGTTAATGGAAAAGCAGGCTGGGCAGGCAGCAGCCACAGCAGGCTTTCCCCTGGGATGCCAAGCGGCCTGTGGCTTGCAGCAGACACGCGGGATGCACTCTACTCTGTTTTTCATCACCGGCTTACTGTGTGTACCCAGCAGTCCAGATGTAGTGAAATTAATAGCTTCCCCACTACTGCCAAGGACCTTTTCCCGTCTGGTGGAGCTGGTGTTTTCACCCTGTGGTGACAAACATGACAGGGAGCCTCAGAGCTTTCAGGGTTGCCACTGTGGCCCGGGCTCCACCAGTGCAGATGTCACCAGGGTGGAAACACCAAGAGCTGTGGAGGTGTTAGGGGCCGGCGACTCTTAGAGGCCATACCTACCTCTCCTCTCATACTTGCCCCCCCACCCCCCGAGAATTGGCCTCTGTTCACACCATCTGTCGCCGAAGAGACAGCAAGGGAAGGTGGTGACCCTGTCGGGCTGCACAGGCTTAGGTGACACCTGGTGGGTGAGGTCATACAAAGCTAGCAATGCTGGCTCTGGCAATGAGAGACCTTGCCATGTAGACCAGCCCTTCTTGGTGTCTGGCCTCAGGGTTCTAGTGATAACATTTGGGCTCACTGGCTCTGCCTCCTGCTCCTTCCATCCTGTCCCTCATTCCCATGTATGACTCAAGGTAACTGCTCCCATTGCCTTTGGCGGTGTCTGTCCCCAAGCCCTTGTTTCCTTCCGTGCAGAACCAGCAGAGATGGAGATTGGCACCTCACTGGCTCCCATTAACTCATGCTCCCTGAATGTTTTAGGGCTCAGGCTTAATCTGCCACTCACTCCTGGTGTCCTCAGATAGTGCTTAATCCATACAGCTGTTCAGAGTAGCCCGGCGTGCCCCCTGCTTTAACCGGCCACCGAGCCCGGGGCATTTGTGTCTGCTTGGCATGTTTCCTTGGTAGCATTGGTTCAGGTCAGCAATGCAGCTGCTGCATTGGGGTTTGCAGGACTGGGCTGCCACGTGTGGAGTTTGGGGGTGAAGGCTCCTCCAGTGGTCTTCCGAGTCAGGTGAGCACTGGGTTGTAATTGTTGCCTTCTTTTCACTACAGATGGTGCGGGGAGTCCTGGAGGCCCAAGTGAGGCTGGATGGGCAGCATGGATGGCTGGCACAGAATCTTCACCCAAAACACAATTGTCCCTCCTCACCCACTGAGGGCACGCCAGCTTGGGAAGGAGTCCACAGCATTCCAGTGTGTCCTGAAGTGGCTCGATGGGCCACTAATTAAGCAGGTAATGAGATTTTCCGTTGATTTTCAGATGCTGCTGTCTGAGATGAGGCTTCCAGTTAACACTGATTCTCACCCATCTCCTTGGGTCTCACTGCTGTGCCCATTGCCTTGGATTTGGCGGTACTCAAACGACACAGAACGTGGGAATTGGCCACTTGGTCAGTCCCTGGGGCCTTGAGTGAGCATTTCTACCCACAGTGCTACAGTGTAGACTCCCGGGTAGTCCGACTTCTGGGCTGTTTCTGAGTCAAGGTGTAGGAAGATGCCTTGTATGTATGTGGTCCTGTGTGGTCCTCCTTCGGTTTACGATTGGCAGAATGCTGCTCTGGGAAGCCTTTGTGCTCAGATGCCCCCAGCCATTTGAACCCTAAGGCCTGTGTTCCCATCTCTGCACGCATCTGTGCCCCTTTCAGTTTCCAGGGAGCCCATGTGAGCTAATGCGACTGTGCAGCCACTCAAGGGCATTCATGTGGTCTGTGTCCTTCTGAAACACTTGGCCTGCAGGGATGTCCAAGAAGGAGCCAGCCCTGCTGGTGAATGTGTGATGTTGCTTTTGTTGGCAAGCCTATTGCCTGCTACCAATGTGATAGGATTCACTCATTCGATTGCTAGCTGTTAGCAGTGGCCAGTTCCAAGCCCGTCCTGTGTTTGCTACGGGGGTGGGGTGGGTATCATGGTGTTTGCTGTGCTGTAGCTGTACTCTTAGCACACTATCCACCCTGATTCACTCGCCCTCAGCCCTGTGAGGGGGCTCCAGCATCACCCTCATTTCATAGAAGCCGAGCAGATCCTGCAAGAGGGAAGCCAGCTGCTTGGAGCTACTTATTTCCCATTGGCCCTGGACTGCTCCCTATCAGGGCTGGCTCTGGCTGCCCTATGTGAAAATTTACACCCTTTTATTTCCTAGATGGTTCATGAAGGAGAGCCCTCCCCTCCCTGCTTCTTGGTTTGAGAAAACTAATTTACAGAGTTTGAAATGTGTAAGAAACACAAAGAAAGTGAATTATCAACAATGCCCTGTCTCAGATGCCACCAGGAGTGTCTGGCTTCTGTATGACACTTCATAAAGTCTAAGCAATACAGTAAATATAGCTGTATGTATTTTCATTTTTATGTGTGTGTGTCTGTATGAGTTTATGTGCCCCATTTGTGTGCAGGTGCCTGTGGAGGCCAGCAGAGGGCATCAGGTCCCCTGGAATTGGAGTTATGGGCAGTTGGGAGCCACCAGATATGGGTGCTCGGCCTCTGTAAGAGCACTAAGTGCTCTTAATCACTGAGCCATCGCTCTGCTCCTATTATTATTATTATTGTTATTATTATTGTTATTATTCCTATTATTATTTTGATTTATCAAGACAAGGTTTCTCTGTGTAGCTTTGGCTGTCCTGGATCTCACTCTGCAGACCAGGCTAGCCTTGAACTCATAGAAATTTGCTTGCCTGTGCCTCCTGAGTTCTGGGATTAAAATGTGCACTACTGCCTGGCTGGCTATTATTATTATTATTATTATTATTATTATTACTGAGACAGGGTCTCATTCTGTAGCCCAGAATGGCCTCAAACTCCTTATCTCTTGCCTCAGGTTCTTGACTGTTGAGACACAAGCACATGCTATCACACCTGGCTCATTTTCCTCCTTTAAATGTTAATGGATACTCCTGCTCACCCCAGCTACTCCTGCTCACCCCTGCTACTCCTGCTCACCCTGGCTACTCCTGCTCACCCTGGCTATTCCTGCTCACCCTGGCTACTCCTGCTCACCCTAGCTACTCCTGCTCACCCCTGCTACTCCTGCTCACCCTGGCTACCCCTGCTCACCCCAGCTACTCCTGCTCACCCTGGCTCCTACTCACCTTGGCTCCTGCTCAGCCCTCTGAGGTCCCACAGGCTCCATGGTGTAGACAATAACTAGGATTTTGCTGAGTTCAGGAGATGGTGACCACTGAAAAGGCTTCTTAAAAAGCTGCTGAGGGAGTGGGCAGGCCTTGACATGGAGGTCTGTGCTGGACCCCAGGGAGGCCTAGAGTCACAGGGAAGGCCTGGACAGGCTGAGCAGCTGGGGACTGCCAGCCTCTGTAACTGTAGTGATTCCCTGTAGAAAACTGTCCAGTTTTCTTGTCCTGGGATGGGGAGGTTCTGTGTGAGGGTCGAGGAAAGCACTGGGGGGTGGTCATGTTTCAGTTCTGGTAGGTTTGCCCGTCAGAGCCAAGTTGGTGGCCATCTCTGAGAATTGGCCTCTGTGGGAGGGCATGGAGCATCTCTAGTCAGGGATTGTTCAGTTGCCAGAGGTCCAAGGACACATAAAATGAGAAAATATAGTAATTTAGGGAGAAGTTGAGCACCCCTTTCCAGTCCCTGAGAATCCCAGCTCTCTTGCCCCAGGGACTGGTGTTGTACTGCAGCCTCTGCTGGCTCCCTGTCTCCAGGTTCCCAGGTCTCCACAGATGCTGTCTTCCGGGAATCCCTTCCCTGATGGGCCTGGTAGGTATTTCCTTTATGGAAAGCCTTAGGCTTTTTCTTCCTTTGTTCCTCTTTTGTCCTTGGTGCCTAGAACTGCACCCAACAGCCTGGAAACAGACTGGCTGCCAGCAGCCCCGGGTCTGTGTCTGACTGACATGGCCTGGCCTCTGGTGTCCCTAGTGCCTCAGGGGTGTCTGAAGTCCATGCCATCTGAGGGTATTTCAGTGCTCCGATTGGCCTGAGCAGGCTGAGCACCATGGTTTGTCCCTCCACCGAGACCAGTTGCTGTGGAGACAGGCCAAGGCCAAAAGGAAATTGAGCTGCTAGTAGCTGACTATGGGGTAGCACTGGTGGCCCAGAGTCCCCCCACCCAGGGTTCCCACAGTGGCACTGGCGTGGCCCAGAGTCTCTCCACCCAGGGTTCCCACGGTGGCACTGGGGTGGCTCTTCAGGACTTCTTTTCTGGTGTCTCCTAGGGAATCCTAGACATGTTGTCAGAGCTTGAATGCCACCTGCGAGTGTCTCTCTTCGATGTTACCTACAAACACTTCTTCGGGAGGACATGGAAAACCGTGACGAAGTCCAGCAATCAACTGTCCAGGCAGCCGCCCAGGATCATCTTCAATGAGGTGGGTTCTGGGGGCCGTGGGCAGGGTACAAGTGTGCTGGGTTCTGTCATGGGCAGCCTCTCAGAGGGACCTCACTCGGCACACACATCTCAGATCCTAGGCAGGGCCTGGAGCAGCAGGCCCGCTGTTGTGAAGCTTGTCTTTGCGGTGCGATACTGTTTATAGTCTCTTAAAGCCAGCCAGGTAGATGTGCTTACTACGATGTTTGCAGGAGTGTGGGGGTCCCACCAGGGAGCCTCTGGGATCTTGGAACAGTGAAGTCACTGATCTCAACAGATGGTGTGTTGTCTTTCATCACCGTGACAAAAATACACGGGGAACAATGGCAGCATAAGGCTGCGTTTTGGAGTTTTCAGTTCATAGACCTTGGCTATGCTGTTTCTGGTCCTGTCACCACAGATCGTCGTGGCCGGGTTGTGTGGCCACCCCTGCCCTCTCATGGCAAAAGGGAGTGGAGAGAGAATGCCTAGCCTCGTGCGCTTACTCTCCCTGTCTTTGTGTCTGGACTTTTAGTCTATGGGAGAGCATCACCTACATCTCGAGTGGGTCATCTCTCTGTGGTTCAGAGGTTCTCAACCTTTCTAATGCCTTGGCCATTTAATACAGTTCCCCATGTTGCGGTGACCCCAGCCATGAAATTATTCTTGTTGCTATTTCATAACTGTAATTTTGCTACTGTTATGAATCTCAGTGTAAACACCTGTGTTTTCCCAGTGGTCTTAGGTGACCCCTGTGAAAGGGTCGTTTGGCCCCCAATCGGGTGTCGACGCCCAGGTTGAGAACTGCTGCTGTAGTTAGCCCTGTCCGGGGTGCCCTCACAGACCTATCCTGAGGTGAGCTTTGCCAGTCTAGTGCTTCTCATTTTACTCAAGATGACAGTCAAGAGTGACTTGCCCGCATGGAAGGTGGACTCAGATTGGTGCTGCTGACCTCAGACTTGGCGGTCGCATGGCACCAGTTGGTTCTATGTTCCCCAGGGAGGAGGATGCGCCCAGCAAGGCAGGACAGAATGAGGGCGAGGGGAGCTGGGGGCTGGTGTAGTGGTGGTGAGTGGGGTGGACAGCTGTGTCCTGTGGGCCTTCCCGGTGATGCTGAGCTCTCTAAGAGTGGAGAGGCCACAGGGCCCTTTCCCATGCTGATTCACCATTGGCCTTTAGGGGGCAGTGAGGAGCCCAGGTTTGACAACTCCTGATGACTCTGAGCTGTTTCTTCTTTAGCAGGTGAACTGAGTGAGGCTGAGGAAACCGTACTGTGACAGTTGCTTCCATGGCTGCCGGTGGAGGGGACCATGGCTGTTCTGAGCTGCTACTCTGGCCACTTATGCCCTGTGGCATCTTATCTGCCGTGGGTGCTTTCGCTGTAGCTGGCACTGAGCCTCAGGCTGGCTATGAACATGCTGCCCTCTGACCTTGGCAGTCATTCAGCCGTTATGATTTTGTGTGACTTGGCGTGGCTCATTTCGAGGCATCCCAGACTAAACATGGGTAGTTGAGGGAGATAATGGCCCAGAGGTCAGAGGATTAAACAAAACCTTGGCAAAATCTATGTCACGGGTGCTGAAGTGTCTGAGGTGATCTTATCAGGTGGCTTATGCAAATATCTTGGAAAGGTCTGCCAGGCCAGCATGCCAGTGACAGGAGTCCATGTTGTAAATCTTGTACGTGGCTCTGTGTGACCCCACGAGGGCTGCCTCAGCATAGGCAGCGAGTGGCCTTGTGCCTTTGGCACAATGGAAGAGATCTGTCCCCTGTCTCATGGCAGCGCACGGGGATGGCGCAGCCTCTCCTGCCTTCGGCTGCAGCCCCGTAGGGATGGATGGTTTTCTCTTTCCCCGGTGCGTAGAGGAAACCCTGTGTGATGACCGGTCTCTGTGATGAATGGTGATGCGTGGAGAATGGAGCCTCCCCGCTTGCCCACGGGGATGCACAGCTCTTGGCAGCGAGGGGTTGGTGGTGAGCCTGTGCTCCAGGCCACCAACCTTCTCTGAAGCCGGCACAGAGACTGCTGGATTCTGGAGGTCCAGATAATACACCCCCTTCTCCCTCCTCGCCCTGCCCCTGCATTTAGAGATGGACTGATTGGCCCTATTGTACCTGTGTTCCGCTCCCCATTGGTGACCCGACTTGGACCAGCATGCTATCTAGGTTGCCAGTCAGGAGCAGGGGCTTCCGTCTCCAATCTTGGGAGTCACAGAGGGGCGGCCCCTGTAGGATACCCAGTGACCGTGAGAGACGGTGCCCTGATGCTGCTTATGTCCTACCCTTGGGTTTGACATTGTGTCACTCTGGTTTTCAGTTGCCTGGGAAGCCCAGATACACTCAGATCTCACTGCCCCCTGCTGGCCAGGTATTCTGAGCCTGGACATAGACCTTTTGTCCAGGAAATCCAAGATTCAGGCTAGTTCCTGGGCTTTTAACCACCCATGCTGGTGGGAGCCACATCAACTCAGCCTGGACAGCTGTCTCGATCTGCCTTTGGTTGAGGCTGTGCGTTGGGAGTCAGAGAAATGGAGAGTGCGGAGGCTTAGTGTGTGGCGGCCAGAGCACTGAGGGTGCTGCCTGAGCTTGCTTGCTCTGGCTTTTTTTTTTTTTTTTTTTTTCCCCAGCTTGCTGCTATGCTCACTGCCAGCAGCAGAGGCCACTGGTGGCCCAGCGACCATCAGTACTTCTTCATGCCGGCTCCCTCCTGTCTCCTGACACCAGAATACAAGAGTAGATTGTGTCCAGTTAAGTAAAGGGACGTTCCCTTTGCTCTGTGTGGCGTGTGCCTGCACCTGTGTTGTACGAGGTTGACACGCCCTGGGTGGGAACTTAGCATGTGCTGTGGCTGTGGTCACCAGCTGTCCAGTTGCTCTGACCACACACCTGTAGGGACAGATGGCTAAGATGCTGCTCGCCTTTCAGAGTTGAGACATTCGAGGTACATTCCCCATCAGCCATGGCTCAGGCACATCTGCCATGAGGCAGGCTACTGTGGCTGTGTGGCCTCTGTGTGGCTACATTGACTGGGCATGCTCTGATGTATTGAGCTGGCTTCATACGTGTGTACGTGACTGGCATGTGTTGGAGGGGGTGGGGGTGGTGATTTGCCATCTCAGAACTACAGTCAGCTCTACCTCAGAAAAGACTTGGAACACCAGCAATGTGCCTTGGTAAACAGTGACTTTGCACTGGTCCCTGGTCCCTAGTCTCCTCCATTCTGTACTCTGAGACTTTTCCTGGTGGAGAGGAATTGCATTTTCTCTTTCTTTCAGACAGCTGATCATTCAACCTCTAGGAAATATCTTTTAAGAAGAAATCCTGGTGGCCACAATACAGCACATTCCATGTTTCTTCTAAGGTGGACATAACTCTGTAGGGAGACACCCTGGCCCCGCCCTGGCAGGTACCAAGTGGACCCGGGACTCACCCATAAGGGCGTGGTGTAGGAAAGCCAGGGTGACGTAAGGGAGGCTTCTTAAAGACCGCTCGTGGAGACCCGAGCCCCTTTTTGTTCTGGCCGCACTTGCTGGGTTCCTGTAACCTCGCTCTGGCCTGCGTTTTGCCCTGGTGTTTTCTTGAATAAAGAGACTTTAATCTATCATAACTCTTCTCAGATTGTTTCCTTGGCTAATTGGGACTCTCCACACACAGCTCCACCCAGAGCAGAGGCTGCTCCCCCCCCCCGCCCCCTTGGTGTGTACCAGCCCGGGTGCTGAGAAAGCAGCAGGGAGATTTCCTGCCCTTGATAGAGACAGGCGGTTTCAGACGCAGTGTACTGAGGATGGAGTTCGGATGGCTCTCACTCCTCAGAGTAAACTGAGCTGCACAGTGAAAGGGCACAGTGAAAGTGTCAGGAGAGCCCTGATACCTCCCACACTCCTGCTTCATCAGACCTGACCCAGACCAGACACTCTCTCAGGCTTGCTGCCTCTCACGGGTCCTTGGGGCAACCCCTGCTGAACTGCTGCTGTGACCCTGTAGGTCAGAAGTACCCACTCCGAGGATCAGCCTAAGGTGTGGCCTGGCAGAAGCAGTGTCTATTGGCTGTTGCCAGGGTTGGGTTTTCACTGTATGGGGAGTGACCCGTCAGTCACTGGGGACAAGGGAGGGCTCGAGGTTGGTTGCTTCTGTTCTCTGGTGTCTCTTGCTTTGGGGTGATGGTGTCTGATCACCCTCTATTTTAAGTTAGGCAAGGAATTGGGTCAGCTTTGGACCTAAATGCTGGATTTATTGTGGCTTGCACATGGGCCAAAGCCAGGGTTTCAGGAAGGTCACTCAGCGCTGTGACCTTGAAGTCATTTGCAAACCGTATGCAGTTGTGCACCTTGAGTGTGAGTCAAGTGGTTTGGGGCAGTTGCCCATGAAGCAGGGTGAGTTCACTGGGTAGATGATGTTTGAGCCCCCAGTGCACCCGAGTCTGCATGGGAGCCGCACAGACAGAGACCAGCCAGCTCCTGTGTAACCTTCCAGCCAGGGTTCAAGTTCACATTGCCCCTCTAGATCTGAGCTTCTCAGCCCTAGAACCACTCACGTGGAGGACTGGGCTGCTCTCCGTGGTCTGCTGAGATGGTGTGGGCCTGACCCTACCACTGTGACACCTTCCCGACAGGGTCAGGCTTCCGACTTCAGAACCAAGCCTGTGAATGTCTTAGGGGAGAGTGGGGTGCATAGAGTTGGCCAGCTTGGGGTGGTGGGTGTTGACGGCCATTGGCCAGGAAACCTGAGGCGAGGCCGAGGCAGTCAGCGCATGGAAGCTTCGGGAGACATTCCTGGATTGCTTTCCCGAAGGTCCTCAATTAAAGGCTTATTATCATTGCTGTTGTGTGCAGGTATGGGGTGAGCATGTGTGTGCATGTGTGTACATATGTGTATGTGGTCTGCATGTGCATGTGTGTACATGTTTGTGTGTGGTGTGTGCCTATTCATGTGTGCACATGTGTGTGCATTTGTGTTTGTGTGGGTGCATGCACATGTGTACACATGTGTTTGTGGTTTGTGGGTGTGTGTATAGTGTGCATGTGTGTGCATATGTGTGCATGTGTATACATATGAGTGCATGTGTGTACACATGATGCTGTGGTGTGTGTGTGTGTGTGTGCATGTGCATGTGCATGTATAAATATGTGTTTGTGTGGTGTGGGCCTATTCAGATGCGCATGTGTGTACACACATATACATATGTTATGATAGATCTTTCCGCCAAAAGCTGCCTGAGCCCTACCACCACATGTGAGCTTTATGCCAGCTGCCCGAGTTAGGGTCCAAATGAAACTTGTATTAGGTTCAAATGATGCTAGGCCAATGCCTAGGATTCTCATCTGTTAGCTCAGTCTTAATTATCATAAACCTATATATTTTATAAGACTTATCTTATAGAGGATGCCTTCCGCTGGCACCCTCTCTTGCCGGTGGCTCATACATATGTGTTTGTGTGGGTGCATGCCCATGTGTACACATGTGTGTGAGTGTGGTTTGTGTGTGTGTGTGTGTGTATAGTGCACATGTGTGTGTGCGTGTGTATACACATGTGTGCATGTGTGTGTCTGTTGCACCGTGGTAATGGGAGGGTGGGGTGCCCTGCACTATATCTTTTTCCCTCATTCCCTGATGCTTGTTGCTTTTTGGCTGGGCTGACCAGTCAGCCAGCAAGTTCTCCTTCCATCTCTACCATCCCCTCCATGCCCACCCCCAGCCCCAAGGTGACAGTTTTTTTTTTTTCCTAGGTGCTGGGGATCGGAACTCAGGTCTTGCTTGGCTAGCATGACCTTGCTTGCATGGCTAGCGCTACTGTGCCCTGAGCCACCTTCACAGCCTCTGATGGCTTGTTGTGAACCACTTCTTTGCACAATGCTGGTTTGGTTTTTCTCATCTTTCTGCTGGTCCTGTGTGTGTGTGTGTGGGGGGGGGGGTAGCAGGTCGACTTAGAAGTCAGCAGAGCCTGCCAAGTACAGCTTCTTAGAGGCAACACTGTCAGAGCTGTTTTCAGTTCTGTCATCGTGGACAAGAAATAGAAACCCGGCCCCTAGGCAGTGGTGTCTGTTTTTGCAGATGAAGGCATCAGGACAGGCTCACTGAGATGATTTATTAATCTGTTTACCCCGCCAGGGAGGAGCCCTGGCCAGTGCTCGTGAGAGAGCTGTTTGCGGTGACTTTCTTTATGGGGGATTTGATGGGCTTGACTCAAGACTTTTAATCATGCTGTTTTAGTTGACATTCGGAGTTTTCTCTTCAAAATGTATGGCACGATGTTAATTAAATTGCCCTGGTTTGGAGAGCTGTTCACAGGTGTCACTCAGTTGTGTGCTGTCTGGGGTTTTGCTCAAGCCTTCTGCATGCTGGACAGCTGGGGTGGTCGGGGGGTTGGGGGGGGTGTGCTCCTAGGCACAGGTGATCCAGACGAACAGAGTGGAGCTGAGCATGTATCTGTGTGTCCATCCCTGGGAGGCTTGTGTTTCTCTGGTTCCTCAAAGCTCTTCATTCCTGAGCAATGCTAGCATTTCTGTAGCTGCCCAATCTGCCCCCTATAAAGCCTCTGGGCCTTGAACTTGTTGAAGGCTGATGTGTTTCCCAGGTTCCTTGTGACTTCTTTAGCATGGTTCCCACAGTGGAGGGACAATTAAATGGTGTTTGGGAAAGAGAACATTCAGAGCCAGGAATGAGGCCGATTCGACTGAACTTGAATCGTCCTTCAGTGTGCTGCCATCAGGCTGGCTCTCTGATGAAAGGTGCTGGGACTGGCTGGGATGGGAAGCTCTGTCCTGGGCATTTCCCCCTCCCCCCAAGGTCTTGATGGCAGTGATGGCAAGGCCTACGTGGTGTAGCATTCTGGTCCTTGGTTTTGTTTTGCTTGGACTTGCCCCCGCTGGTCCCACCACTCAGGTGGAGCAGTTTCAAGGTGACCTCCAAGCTGGGCAATGCCCACTGCTTCCTTTGAGAATTTAAATGTTTGTTTTACTGCTGAAAGAGAAAGAGGGTAGTGTCCATAAAACCAGTATGAACAGGTGTAAATACACAGGTGAGGTAGTGACAGATTCAACAGCCCAGCAGGGCTCTGCAAACAGCGTGCGTCTGGGAATCTGACACATATTTCTGTCCCAGTCCAGCCACCTGTCAGCCCTAAGTGGTCATTATTTCATCATTCTGCAATAAAAGATAATAGAATAACGATTTATAGTTCGTGGCTGATGTTTTAATGCATCCCTCTGTTATCCTGGCTGACAGTCTGTGATTACAGTAACCACTTTCTGGGTGACTCCATGGTAATGACTCCTTAATAGGAGTGTTAGCCCGAATTTCAATCACATGGCACTGGCCAGCCTGAGCCCTGCCTGGCACTGTCTGCAGGGGGCGTCTTTGTGCTCAGCTGGGGGCTAGACACCCAGACACTGAAAGGTGGTGGCATATGGAAGCCCGTCCAGGGCTGCTCCTCAGGGTGTGGACACGAGCCTCCATGGTTGGCAAGTCCAACCTCTAGCTCCACCTTTGTCTCTTACGCTTGTGCTTTGGCCAGTTAGAACTGAAAACAGGTGTATGTGTGTGTGCCCGAGTGCACACTTGTGAGAGTGCACTCTGACGTTAGAGGCGAATGGGTCCCTTGCACCTCCGCACCCACTCAGGGGCCAGAGATTGTCCGTTTGCATTCTGGGAATAGGAATGTTATAAATGGGGGGCCTTTTAACAAGGTCATTTACTATCATCTACTAGGTTCCAAAAATCGTTTAATGAAAAGATGTCATTCTGTATGTGCTTGGTGGTACAAGCCTGCTTTTTGGCACTTGGGAACTTGGGAGATGGAGGCAGGAGGGTCAGGAGTCAACCTCATCATGAATTTGCAGTCAGCATAGGCTACTGAGACTTCTACCTCAAAAAGCAAACAGAACAAAACAAACAAACAAACAAAAGGATAGCTCCTCAGTTAACAGGCCTTAACCGAGTTCAGTTGCCAGCACCCATGGCTCACAACCCTGTCCAGGGAATCAGACTCCCTCTTCTGGTTTCTCTGGGCACCTGCACTTGCATGCATCCCCACCCCCACCCCAAACACATGACTAAAAATAAAATCCTAAAAAGAAGTCCTTACCTGTGTGCTGGGCACACACCTTTAATCCCAGCACTTGGGAGGCAGAGGCAGGCAGAGCTCTGTGAGTTCCAGGCCAGCCTGGCCTACAGAACGAGATCTAGGACAGGCTCCAAAGCCACAGGGTTTTTAACCCTGTTTTGAAAAGCCAAAAAAAAAAAAAAAAAAAGAAAAAAAAAAAAAAAGTCCTTACCTGTGTTACTGAAGTCCTAAATCCCCCTCTCCAACCCCCACCAGATCTCAGGCGATTTTCACTGTAAAAGGTCCTGGCTGTGAGCTGTGGATCCTGTCTTAGTTCCAAGTAGGTTAAGAGTTCTTGGTTGAAGCACACTTAGTTTGGATGGGACTTCATAAAACAAACACATCAGGTGGTCTGAGAGTGAGCATGCCAGGCAGTGGCCCAGGTTTCTATGCTGTGTGTTGGCTGAGTCTGGGGTTGACTGTGCCCAGCAGTAGTGTGTGTGTGTGTGTGTGTGTGTGTGTGTGTGTGTGGTGTGTGTTTGGGTGGTGTGTATTTGTTTTGTGTGTGTGTGCTTGGATGGTGTGTGTGTGTGTGTTTGGGTGGTTGTGTGTTTTGTGTGTGTTTGGGTGGTGTGTGTGTGTGTGTGTTTTGTGTGTGTGTGTGTGTGTTTGGGTGGTGTGTGTGTTTTGTGTGTGTGTGCTTGGATGGTGTGTGTGTGTGTGTGTTTGGGTGGTTGTGTGTGTTTTGTGTGTGTTTGGGTGGTGTGTGTGTGTTTTGTGTGTGTGTGTGTGTGTTTGGGTGGTGTGTGTGTTTTGTGTGTGTTTGGGTGGGGTGTGTGTGTTTTGTGTGTGTGTGTGTGTGTGTGGTTGGGTGGTGTGTGTGTGTGTGTTTTGTGTGTGTGTGTGTCTGTTTGGGTGGTGTGTGTGTTTTGTGTGTGTTTGGGTGGGGTGTGTGTGTTTTGTGTGTGTGTGTGTGTGTGTGGTTGGGTGGTGTGTGTGTGTGTGTTTTGTGTGTGTGTGTGTCTGTTTGGGTGGTGTGTGTGTTTTGTGTGTGTTTGGGTGGGGTGTGTGTGTTTTGTGTGTGGGTGTTTGGGTGGGGTGGGTGTGTGTGTTTGGGTGGTGTGTGTGTGTTTGGGTGGTGTGTGTGTGTTTTGTGTCTGTAGTATCATAGGCATATGTGTGTACACATGTTTGTGTGGTTGTACATATGTGTGTGAGTGCATTTGGCAGCCTTAGGTTGATTTGGGGAGTGTGACTTAATCAGTTTGAACCCCAAACAAGTACGTTGAACTGAACGAGGAAATGACTTCTTTCACCTTACTCTCTGAGGCAGAGTCCCTCAGCCAAACCCAGAGCTCACTGACAGGGCTCATCTTGCTGGCCAGCTTGCCTGGGGATCCCCGCTGTGCTCTCCTGGCGTTCCCGAGGGGTTCTGGGGTGTGGACTCCACTTCTCAGCTTGCGCCGCCCCAGCCTGTGAGCATCTGATCCTCTCGCTCTTGCTGCACCTCGCCTGCTGTCAGCGCCCTCAGTCGCCTCTGCTTTCTCTCTCGCAGCCGTTCTATTTCCACACGACCTTGAACCACCCGAACATCGTGGCTGTGGTAGAAGTGGTTGCTGAAGGCAGGAAGAGGGACGGCGCCCTGCAGGTGCTGTCCTGTGGCTTTGGAATTCTTCGCATCTTTGGCAATAAACCAGAGTCTCCGACCTCTGCTGCCCAGGACAAACGGTACCCTCCTCCTCCTCCTCTTCCTCCTCCTCCTCCTCCTCTTCTTC